AAATGTCCGGTTCGATGTGATTTGACTTCACGACCTTTGGGCTTGCTTGACAAGCGTCTAGACGTTATACCGTGGATGCGTTATACCTTTGTAACGTGTTTCTTCTTGTTTCTTCTGCTACCTTCTAAGCTCCAGTGGAACATAGGCCCTGAATCAACTCACGCCAGGTCGTTCAATCCTTAGCTATTGCATGCAGCTCATCCCATGTCCTCTCCATCTTTTTCACTCTAGCCCCCTTCCCCATGTGTCTTCGTGGTCTGCCTATATTTCTATGCTCCTGTGGGTTCTGGTGCAAAGACATTCTAGTTATATTCTTCTCATATTTTCTCAGCTTGTTCACTGCTAGCCTCTTTTCTTTCCCTCTTGCTTAGCTCTCTAACAAAGCTCAACATCAGATATTCTATCATACCGTTTATTTCACTCTTTTCTGCACATGCACCAGTTAATGAATGTTTCTAGTTAATCGCTTGTGAATGAAAAGCGACCTACTCTATTTCTGGTAATCTGGTAATCCTAGTTTCAGCTTCATAGCAAACGGGTCACCCCACAGTTGCTCCACTCTTGTGCCAACGAAAAACAATGCAGCTCACAGTGTCACGCCATGCACTCAACTCAGAAGCTGGGCGACGAATCTACGCCCTACTTTATTTGGGGAGACTAACGTCGAACTAACCGACATTAGAATTGAAATTTTTAATTTTAGCATAATGTGATGAGGTGATTTGCGTGGTCGCACACGGCTTACAGCAAGTCGAGCCGAAATCCTTGTGCAAGAGAAGACGCACGTGATATTCTGGACTGGAGGTATGAACTATGCAAAGCCCGAGATTGGCTCGAGCTCGTTTGGGAACCAAAGTTTGAAGAAGACGGTTGTGAAGTATTAACTGAAATGTCCTAACGTGCCCGGCTCGCTAGCGTAGTTGGCTAAACCTGACTTGGCGGCGACAGGGTGACGAACTTCTTGTGGTCTAGGTTCACGCCCAGGGGTTGGCAGAAAAGCAACTTTCTCCCAGATTTACAGTGTCTATCATGGAATCAAGGCCGAAGGGTTGCGATATCCATAGCACAGAGCCAAAGAATTAATAACGCATGGTTTCTGGATATTTAAAAAAATGTCTTAGCGTCGTGTGGAAGATCATTGCGGGTGTATTGTGAAAACGAGTATCGTTGTTGATGAATAACTGTGAAATGTGAGAATCGGTGAAAATAAACTGACAGAATGATTTTTTTGGGAAATTGACTGCTGTTCGGCGTTATTATTTGAAGAAGGTTGTATCTATTCTCTAGAAAGCCAGCATTATTACAAGAGTGAACCAACCTTGATTAAAAGTGAACCAGCTTTCTTACATATAAGTTTTAGGGTCTTTTGACGACCATAAGTTTCCTAGTGCTGTAAAAGTTCTTCTTGTCTTTTCTAACTTCTTCTTCTTGATTCTTCACGTTCACCGGTTGTAAACTTCGGCGGAAAGTTCTGGTTGTTCGTCCACTTCTGGACTGCAGTCCTGTTTCAGAACCTGAGTGTGCATCCGTTTTACAGATCTCATTTGTGTGCAGACTGTTGGTTCCTTGCCTCTCTGTCAGATGCACTCAACTTCGAAGGAAGCTCCCAGTTAGTCGACTCTTACGAAATGCTTCTGGGTAGGCAGTGGGTCTATTCTTGTTTTCCCTAAAATAGGGCCCCTGAACCCACACATGGATTTTCTAACTTTATAACTTTATATTCTGACGACAGGGGAAGTCCTGATGAATATCACAGATGACTACGACAAGCTCACATTTGAAATTCCTACCGACAGTTTTGTGACGAACGACACCGGTTCCATTGTTGCACGGGTTGATGTATTTTTGGACGGTCCAGAGAACGCAGTAAGTTTGTTATCTCACTACAATCCTTGGCTTACTACAATCTGTGGCTAACTACAATCCTTAACTTAATTATATCCTTGGCTTACTACTATCCTTGGCTTACTACTATCCTTGGCTAACAACAATCCTTGGCTTACTACAATCCTTGGCTTACTACAATCTTTGGCTTACTACAATCCTTGGCTCTTTTGTTTTCCCGTCCTTATATACACTACTACCACCATTATTCTCTTGCACGAAGTTGTTGCTGGCGGCGTTTGGTATGAACGTTTCTACATATTTTTTAGATTTTGATACTTTATCAGGTCCCATGTTGTCTGTTCACTCCACTGGCAAGACATCAAGGGGAGTAAGCCAATTTAGCGATTTTGTTTATTTGTGTGGCTTTAGTTTTGTTTATTATTGTGCCGATAAAGGCTCTAAAGCTGCAACGTTCACTTTTCGTTTGTGTTTGTTATATTGTGAAGCTCGCTGATCTACTTTTCGTTCGGTTTATATCTTTCCATATGATATACCGATAATCCGACCAACAAGAATGGTTTATTTTGTATAATTACGATATTATGATATTCTAAATGATATTCGAAAAGAGTTGGTGCTCCACAGACAACCCTAGAATCAGAGGAAATTCAACATCCTAAGTCATTTATTGTACGAGTAAATAAATCAACTTAGCAAAATGTAACCGGTCTCTTCTAGTCATATGATAAGGTTGCGTTCTTTAGACTGTCCATTCTTGTGCAAGAAGAATTTAACACAACATTGACATTTAAGTAATTAACTTCTTTGGACTTTTCCAGGAAAACTGTGCCAAAAGTACCAACTCGTTGAGTTCCAAGTTTTTTTGCAACGACGATCCTGTAAGTATTCGATTACCTGTCACTTCCCTCGTGTTCGTTGACTGTCACTTCCCCTGTGTTCGTGTTGACTGTCACTCCCCTCGTGTTCGCTTAACTGTCACTTCCCTCGTGTTCGTGTTGACTGTCACTCCCCCCGTGTTCGTGTTGACTGTCACTCCCCCCGTGTTCGCTTAACTGTCACTTCCCTCGTGTTCGTGTTGACTGTCACTTCCTTCGTGTTCAATTGACTGTCATTTCCCTCGTGTTCTGTTGACTGTCACTTCCCTCGTGTTCGGTTGACTGTCACTTCCCCCGTGTTCTGTTGACTGTCACTTACCCCGTGTTCGTGTTGACTGTCACTCCCCCCGTGTTCGCTTAACTGTCACTTCCCTCGTGTTCGGTTGACTGTCACTTCCTCCGTGTTCTGTTGACTGTCACTTCCCCCGTGTTCGGTTGACTGACACTTCCCCGTGTTAGGTTAACTGTCACTTCCCCCGTGTTCGGTTAACTGTCACTTCCCTCGTGTTCGTGTTGACTGTCACTTCCCCCGTGTTCGTGTTGACTGTCACTTCCCCTGTGTTCGTGTTGACTGTCACTTCCCCTGTGTTCGTGTTGATTGTCACTTCCCCTGTGTTCGTGTTGACTGTCACTTCCCCTGTGTTCGTGTTGACTGTCACTTCCACCGTGTTCGTGTTGACTGTCACTTCCCCTGTGTTCGTGTTGACTGTCACTTCCCCCGTGTTCGTGTTGACTGTCACTTCCCCTGTGTTCGTGTTGACTGTCACTTCCCCCGTGTTCGTGTTGACTGTCACTTCCCCGTGTTCGTGTTGACTGTCACTTCCCCGTGTTCGTGTTGACTGTCACTTCCCCGTGTTAGGTTACCTGTCACTTCCCCCGTGTTCGCTTAACTGTCACTTCCCCCGTGTTCTGTTAACTGTCACTCCCCCGTGTTCGGTTGACTGTCACAACCCTGTGTTCGGTTGAATGTCACCCCCCCCCCTTCCCCCGTGTTCGGTTAACTGTCACAACCCTGTGATCGGTTGACTGTCGCTCCCCCTGTGTTCGGTTGACTGTCACTTCCCCAGTGTTCGGCTAACTGTCACTCCCCCCGTGTTCGATTGACTGTCACTCCCCCCGTGTTCGGTTGACTGTCACTCCCCCCGTGTTCGGTTTACTGTCACTCCCCCCCGTGTTCTGTTGACTGTCACTCCCCATGTGTTCGTGTTGACTGTCACTTCCCTCGTGTTCGGTTGACTATTTAAGTTCACCGTGTGTGTTGTGGGATCTCTGTTATAGGGAAAACAAGAATAGACCTACTGCCTACCCAAAACGAATGTCTTAAGAGTCAACTAATTGGGAGCTTCCTCCAAAGTCGAAGCGCATCTGGCTGAGAGGCAAGGAACTAGCAGTCTGCATACAAATAAATCAGATTTGTAAAACGGATGCACATGCAACACTCAGGTTCTGGAACAGGTCTGCAGTCCAGAAGTGGATGAACAGCAAAAACTTTCCGCCAGAGTTTACAGCTGCTGAACGAGAAGAAGAAGAAGAAGCAGCAGCAGCAGCAGCAGAAGCAGATTATTTAAGACTATGTCTTAACTCTTTGAGTCCCAGGGGGTTTAGCATCACAGGCCCAGGGGGTAGTAAAGATAGTAATAAACTCGGCGCATCGTGCGTTCATTAGGCTTCTAGGTAGGAACCTATGAACGTATGATGCGTTCCTTGGGACTGAAAAAGTTAAGGCTCCCAACCTTAATAGTGCCGCGAACCTTTAATACAGTTCCTCGTATTGTTGGGATCCCCCCCCCCCCCCCCCCCAAACCATAAAATTATTTTCGTTGCCAGTTCATAATTTCAGTGAATATATGTTTTCCTATGGTCTTAGGCGAACCCTCTGAAAGGGTCCTTGGACCCACAAAGGGTGGCGACCCACAGGTGCAGAACCGGTGTCTCAAAGGGGTCTGTTTCTGGAATGATCATGAAGAGGCCCTGAGAGGTCCGGACTTGTGTGGACCATAGTCCTGGGGTACCACCACAAGTGGTTTAACACTTCTGCTTCCATGCCAACACAAGTGACCCAGTAGAAATGGCTCAAGATTAATAGTTCTTTCTAATCTGAGGGCCGTAATGTGGCGGATAGGCAGGCTTAATGTTACAGTCGTTGGAGTTATTTGGCTATGGTTGGCCTTAAATGGACTGTAAACGATGTAATCGTATAACCCCTGTAACCCCCCCCCCCCCTCCCACCCCCATCTCCCCCTCTTCCCACACACACACACACAACCTTCCAAAGAAATGCTTAACTGCGCAGTCTAAAAAAAAAAGCATCTTAACATGTGTACTGGCTCCGCGTCTTAGCGTACACCGACTGTAAACTCGGCGGATATTTCTGATTGTTCGTCCACTTCTGGACTTAGATCGTGTTCCAGAACTTGTGTTTTGTGTGACTATCGGTTTGACGCATGTGGCTTATTGTTAGCTGGTCACCGCCCACGGCAAGTGAGTGGGAGTTTGAACCTATGGCGACCCGGTGGGGATGGGGTTGGCAGAAATATGATCTAGCCACTGCAACGCTTTGTATATCGGAGAATGTACAATGGATAGCAGATACCGCCAAGAAAATACCAACCAAATGCTGAAATCTGAGGTACTTGGGTGCCCTGATAACAATAAACAGAAAATGTATCAAAGAAGTTAAATGTAGACTAAATCAAACAAAGGCAGCTCTTTACACAAATGAAGAATATTCGATACAATCACGTTTTGTCAATTGGGTAGATAAAGAGAATTTTCAAGAGCTGTATACAAGATCATTTCCTGATATATGAAAGTCAACAAAGATAGATTGGCGATTAGTGGAAAAAGGACAATATTTGGAAGCTGCGGCGATGTGATTTTATTCATGAATGATAAGAACACCCAGGACAGATAAAAAGAGTAATGAAAATGTTTTCAAAGAAACTGACTCACGCAGAGAACTGATTTCCCACATCAGAAGGAGATTATCAACATTCTTTGGTGATGTGATGAAAAGGAGAAAAACTGGGGTTCACCGTGACGGTGGAAAGTTTGAGGGGAAAAAGACAGTGAGACCGAGAGAAAAGATACTAGAGAGTTTGACAGCATGACATGAAAGATCTTCTTTGTCTGACTTGATTGAAAGTACACTAGACAGAAAGTTGTGGTTGTACACGACTTCTAACTCCACAAAGTATGGGCGATCATCTATGTCAGAATTGATTAAAAGTACACAAAACAGAAAGTTGTGGTTGTACACGACTTCTAACTCCACAAAGTATGGAAGATCATCTATGTCAGAATTGATTAAACGTACCCGAAACAGAAGGTTGTGGTTGTATACGACTACAAATGCTACACAGCATGAGCTATAAAAAGAAGAAGTCTAAGACCATAAACCATAAAGCATACGATTCGTCTATTACACTTTACCATTGGAACTAATTAACTGAAAATAGTTTTGGTTCCCCTCTCACAGGGAAATGAGAAGACAGTGACAATAATGGTGAACATCACCAATGACTTCGGACCTTACTTTACAGTGTTTGAGACAAATGTCAATGAGGTAAGTTTTGTATTCTGTCAACAATTGATCAAGGCCAAATGTCTTCATGCCACTGAGCCCTTCATGGCGATTTAAATGTCAGTCAATCAATCCATTGCAGTCCTTTAAAGAATGTCGCGCTCTTCATGGCTTGCCTGAAAGGTCTCTCTCTACCCGCTCTTCGCGGCATGCCCGAAAAGTCTTTCTTTTTCTACCCGCTCTTCGCCGCTCTTTGCCTAAAATGCCTCTCTTTCTCTACGCCTTTTCACAGCATGCCTTAAAGGTCTCTCTTTCTCTACGCCTTTTCACAGCATACCTTAAAGGTCTCTCTTTCTCTACGCCTTTTCACAGCATACCTTAAAGGTCTCTCTTTCTCTACGCCTTTTCACAGCATGCCTTAAAGGTCTCTCTTTCTCTACGCCTTTTCACAGCATGCCTTAAAGGTCTCTCTTTCTTTACCCACTCTTCCCGGCATACCTGAGAGGTCTCTCTTTCTTTACCCACTCTTCCCGGCATACCTGAGAGGTCTCTCTTTCTCTACGCCTTTTCACAGCATGCCTGAGAGGTCTCTCTTTCTCTACGCTTTTTCACAGCATGCCTGAGAGGTCTCTCTTTCTCTACGCCTTTTCACAGCATGCCTGAGAGGTCTCTCTTTCTCTACGCTTTTTCACAGCATGCCTGAGAGGTCTCTCTTTCTCTACGCTTTTTCACAGCATGCCTGAGAGTTCTCTCTTTCTCTACCCCCTCTTCCCGGCATGCCTGAGAGTTCTCTCTTTCTCTACCCCCTTTTCACAGCATGCCTGAGAGTTCTCTCTTTCTCTACCCCCTCTTCCAGGCATGCCTTAAAGGGTCTTTCTTTCTTTACCCGCTCTTCCCGGCATGCCTTAAAGGTCTCTCTTTCTTTACCCGCTCTTCCCGGCATGCCTTAAAGGTCTCTCTTTCTTTACCCACTCTTCCCGGCATGCATAAAAAGTCTCTTCTTCTCCAGCCACGCGCTCTTCCTGGCATGCCTGAGAGGCCTCTCTTTCTCCATCCGCTCTTCCCGGCATGCCTAAAAAGTCTCTCTTTCTCTAGCCAAATATCCAGCCCTGTGTGCTTTCATATCCAATGTGTCTTCAGTGTCTTGTATTGACATTTGCGGAGCTCAGCCTATGCCTGTTTTGTCCACAAACTGCACCTCTCATCACCGTTCTCTCCAGACCACATGGCCAAAACACCTCAGCTATCGAAAGAGTTTGCCGATTATGAAGATTTTAATGTACATCTTTATAAATTCGAGGTTTGCTTTTAAATTACATGACATCGTTTTTACCTTTTTGTTCTGTATTATAATCGTCACTACAGCGTTCACTGCAACCACTATCGTCATCGTCATCATCATCATCATCGCAATGATAGCTATCAACGTCATTATCGCCATGATCATCATCATCATCGCCATCGTCAGCATCATTATCACATTCAGATCAGTTAGCCGTTAGATCAGACGCTTTGACTTATTTGTTCGTTCATGTCACTTGACTGTCCCTATCATTTCCCAGTGTTATATCTTTTACATGTTTTATCATTGCTAGCTTTTTTATCATTCCTGTATGTTCTATCATTGTTAGGTGTTTTATCATTCCTGTGTGTTCTATCATTGTTAGGTGTTTTATCATTCCTGTGTGTTCTATCATTGTTAGGTGTTTTATCATTCCTGAATGTTCTATCGTTGTTAGGTGTTTTATCATTCCTGTGCGTTCTATCATTGTTAGGTGTTTTATCATTCCTGTGCGTTCTATCATTGTTAGGTGTTTTATCATTCATGTGTGTTCTATCGTTGTTAGGTGTTTTATCATTCCTGTGTGTTTTATTATTGATAAGTGTTTTATCATGCCCATGTGTTCTATCATTACTAGCTGCTTTATCATTCCTGTGTGTTCTATCATTGCTAGGTGTTTTATCATTCTCATGTGCTCTATGATTTCCAGATGTTTGTTTTTGCAGGTGTTCTGTCATCGCTAGGTGTTCTATCATTCCCAGGTGTTCTGTCACTCTCTGGTGTTCTGTCACTCACTGGTGTTATATATTTCCCAGATCATCATCAAATTTACCCTCGTTATCATACCCACATTCATCATCATCGGCTCAGTTATTCTTCAAAGATCTTCTCTTCTATGCATGCTGGTGTGTGAGAACACGAAAATAATAGGAAGATGACCTTGACTTCCAGGTTGACCCAGCAATAGGTACCAGGAGAAGTCCTGGAAAGTAAAGGCTGCTAGTGTGATGTTGACCATATTCTCTACCGAGTTCTGACTGACTGACTTTCTACCCCACGCCCAGTACGTTGAAAACAAGCGAGTAAACACCCACGTGACACAAAGTTCCACCATGCGGATGAAATCACCTTTGGAGAGGTCCCACCATTTAAGTCCGCGTTCGGATCCCATTTGCGCCATAATGATGACCTGCCTCATCATTGCGGCCCCCATGGCAAAAGCCAGAGTGGGGCTTCAAAGTCAACAAAAAAGTAACGTCCCAAAGAAGGCCACGTAAAGTCATACCAAGTCTCCAAGTACCGAGTTTGCCATTAGTCCGTAAAATATAGGTCCAACACGCCCAGAGGCGTTGAAAAACAGCCTTTTCCTTAGTTAATATTCACAGTGACTCCCAATGCAGTTCTAAACATGTGTATATAAATAGCAGAGTTTGGAGCTTAGCCGTCCAAAACATTGCCACCAGTCCCAAGTCGAATCCCAAAGTCACAATCATGCGACCCAATTCATTGCCACCAAGTCATTGCCACCAAGTCACAAGTCATTGCCACCAAATCCCAAGTCATTGCCACCAAGTCCCAAGTCATTGCCACCAAGTCCCAAGTCATTGCCACCAAGTCCCAAGTCATTGCCACCAAGTCCCAAGTCATTGCCACCAAGTCCCAATTAATTGCCACCAAGTCTCAAATCATTGCCACCAAGTCACAAGTCATTGCCACCAAGTCCCAAGTCATTGCCACCAAGTCCCAAGTCATTGCCACTAAGTCCCAAGTTATTGCCACCAAGTCCCAAGTCATTGCCATCAAGTTTAAAATCAATGCCACCAAGTCCCAAGTCATTGCCACCAAGTTTCAAATCAATGCCACCAAGTCCCAAGTCATTGCCACCAAGTCACAAGTCATTGCCACCAAGTCCCAAGTCATTGCCATCAAGTCACAAATCATTGCCACCAAGTCCCAAGTCATTGCCATCAAGTCACAAATCATTGCCACCAAGTCATTGCCACCAAGTCCCAAGTCATTGCCACCAAGTCCCAAGTCATTGCCACCAAGTCACAAGTCATTGCCACCAAGTCCCAAGTCATTGCCACCAAGTCCCAAGTCATTGCCATCAAGTCACAAGTCATTGCCACCAAGTCCCAAGTCATTGCCATCAAGTTTCAAATCAATGCCACCAAGTCCCAAGTCATTGCCACCAAGTTTCAAATCAATGCCACCAAGTCACAAGTCATTGCCACCAAGTCCCAAGTCATTGCCACCAAGTCCCAAGTCATCGCCACCAAGTCCCAAGTCATTGCCACCAAGTCCCAAGTCATTGCCATTAAGTTTCAAATCAATGTCACCAGTCCCTAGTCATTGCCACCAAGTTTCAAATCAATGCCACCAAGTCCCAAGTCATTGCCACCAAGTCACAAGTCATTGCCACCAAGTCCCAAGTCATTGCCATCAAGTCACAAATCATTGCCACCAAGTCCCAAGTCATTGCCATCAAGTCACAAATCATTGCCACCAAGTCCCAAGTCATTGCCATCAAGTCACAAGTCATTGCCATTAAGTTTCAAATCAATGTCACCAGTCCCTAGTCATTGCCATCAAGTCACAAATCATTTCCACCAAGTCATTGCCACCAAGTCCCAAGTCATTGCCACCAAGTCCCAAGTCATTGCCACCAAGTCACAAGTCATTGCCATCAAGTCACAAGTCATTGCCACCAAGTCCCAAGTCATTGCCATCAAGTCACAAATCATTGCCACCAAGCCATTGCCACCAAGTCCCAAGTCATTACCACCAAGTCCCAAGTCATTGCGCCAAGTCCCGGGCATTAACACCAAGTCCCAAGTCATTGCGCCAAGTCCCGGAGCATTGCCACCAAGTTCCAAAACATTACCACCAAGTTCCAAATCATTGCCAAGGTCCAAGACCCAAATCATTGCGACCAAGTCCCAGGGCATTGCCACCAAGTCCCAAACAATTGACACCAAGTCCCAAGACAAATCGCAAGTCACAAAGAATGCCTTTACGTCCAGTCTCGAACCAGTCACTTTATGTGTCAAATCATTTGCAAGTCGTGCGTGGATGACTCAAAAATAGCAAAAATACAAAACCAGAAATTGTAGTGCGAAAGAAGTCGAATGAGAAAGCTCTATAAGAGCAAACAGAATTAAATCTGTCTTGTTTTGTACGAAGACACATCAAATGTGACGCTGACCACTAGACCTCACAATGACTCGTCATACATACCACATAAGCTACAAGTCGTAAGCAGAGATACGGGAGTCGCTGGGCAAAAGCCCAAGTCGAGGTGCTAGTCGTTAACTACGCCACTGAAGTAGCACTCGATTCTAGGTCACGCGACTCGAGTTCCGACCATGATGAATGAAGACTCTATGCAAGACAAGATTAGCTTTCATATTTTAATAATATTTGTGAGAGTTGAAAGGAATTACAGCGGAATTTGAAAGAATATGGGCACATTAAAAGACATAATTCGCTTTCAAAATTCATATTGAAAGGAAAGGTCGACGGCAAAAGAGCAAGAGATCAACAACGAAAGAAGCGGAGGAACAACAGGAGATGGACAAACAGCAATCTAGAGAGTGTACAACAAAGACGCAAGACATAGTATTTTGGAGATCCATTGTAGCCAGCTTATTTATGGAGACGGCACGTGATGAATTTATTGATTATATTTAAATCTGCTTTTTTAAATCAACACTGTGCTTATTAAACGGAAACAAAACCACAGTACTTACATAATCAAAGCATGTGATTCAGTCTGTTATCATTGCTTTGATTTCTTGCAATGACTACCTTTCTTTCAGTCTGGGTTTACTGAATCCTTTGTGTTTATCTTTCACCAGTCTTTACCCGTGGGATCTACAGTCATTGATCTCAACAGCATCGTTGTAGATGATGACTGTACTTCAACGAGTAACTTCTTCATCAACGATGTGAGTATATCAATAAGGGCAACTCTTGTTTTAGATAATGATCAAATGCACTGTGCAATAGTACAGAGAGAGAATCAATACACTGATAGACTATTTTACCGGGGAGGGGGGTGGAGTGTGAGTAGAGGTTCTAGAAGATATTCAACACTGAAGGGGAAACAAAGGTGGACTTCTAATCAGGCTGCAGCTGGTACTATTAGCATGTCCACTCTTGATTGGCTGTTGGAGAAGGGGACGGAGCACATGTGGGAGTGTTTTAGGTGCAGTAATGTCAATTCCTATTTTATTTATTCAGGGGGGGGGGGGGGGTTTAAGAAAATATTAATGCAAAGTTCCTAAGAATCAAGACCCATTGACACATGCAAGATCCACCACATAAAAACACATGCCAGATCCATCACATATAGACGCATGCAAGATCCACCACATATAGACACATGCAAGATCCACTACATATAGACACATGCAAGATCCACCACACATAGACACATGCAAGATCCACCACATATAAACATGCAAGATCCACCACATATATACACATGCAGATCCGCCACATATAGACACATGCAAGATCTGCCACATATAGATACATGCAAGATCCACCACACATAGACACATGCAAGATCTGCCACACATAGATACACATGCAAAATCCACCACATATAGATACATGCAAGATCCACCACATATATACACATGCAAAATCTGCCACATATAGATACATGCAAGATCCACCACATATAAACATGCAAGATCCACAACATATAGACACATGCAAGATCCACCACATATAGACACATGCAAGATCCACCACATATAGACACATGCAAGATCCACCACACTTAGACACATGCAAGACCCACCACATATAGACACATGCAAGATCCACCACATATAGACACATGCAAGATCCACCACATATAGACACATGCAAGATCCACCACATATAGACACATGCAAGATCCACCACATATAGACACATGCAAGATCCACCACATATAGAAACATGCAAGATCCACCACATATAGACACATGCAAGATCCACCACATATAGACACATGCAAGATCCACCACATATAGAAACATGCAAGATCCACCACATATAGACACATGCAAGATCCACCACATATAAACATGCAAGATCCACAACATATAGACACATGCAAGATCCACCACATATAGACATGCAAGATCCACCACATATAGACACATGCAAGATCCACAACATATAGACACATGCAAGATCCACCACACTTAGACACATGCAAGATCCACCACATATAGACACATGCAAGATCCACCACATTTAAACATGCAAGATCCACAACATATAGACACATGCAAGATCCACCACATATAAACATGCAAGATCCACAACATATAGACACATGCAAGATCCACCACATATAAACATGCAAGATCCACAACATATAGACACATGCAAGATCCACCACATATAGACACATGCAAGATCCACCACATATAGACACATGCAAGATCCACCACATATAGACACATGCAAGATCCACCACATATAAACATGCAAGATCCACAACATATAGACACATGCAAGATCCACCACATATATACACATGCAGATCCGCCACATATAGACACATGCAAGATCCACCACATATAGACACATGCAAGATCCACCACAGATAGACACATGCAAGATCCGACAAATGCAAAGTCCACAATTGATAGACACCTTAAAGGTCTCCAACTGTAGACATACATGTAGTCCCATGACTCAGCAACACACACACACAAATTTCGACAAATCAGGTCTGCCACTCTTTCAGTAATTCTACTACTACTCAAAATTAGACAAATCAGATTTTTTTACTCTAATAATAGTTCTACCACTACTCAAACATTTGGAATGATCAGGTCTGCCACTCCATCAGTAATTCTGCCACTACTCAAACATTGAGACAAATCAGGTCTGCCACTCTGTCAGTAGTTCTACCATTTCTCAAACATTTATACAAATCAGGTCTGCCACTCTATCAGTAATTCTACCACTACTCAAACATTTCGACAAATCAGGTCTGCCACTCCATCAATAATTCTACCATTTCTCAAACATTTATACAAATCAGGTCTGCCACTCTATTAGTAATTCTACAACTACTCAAACATTTAGACCAATCAGGCCTGCCACTCTATTAGTAATTCTACAACTACTCAAAACATTTAGGCAAATCAGGTCTGCCACTCTATCAATAATTCTACCACTTCTCAAACATTTAGAAAATCAGGTCTGCCACTCTATTTAAAATTCTGCCACTAATCAAACATTTAGAAAATCAGGTTTGCCACTCCATCAATAATTCGACCACTACTCAAACACTTGGATGTCTAAGATCTGGCACTCTGTAAGTAATTCTACCAAAAATCTTTGGTTGGTTAGTAACGCAGATGTGTGTTCACTCTGTCTCCAGGACAAGTCCAAGCAAACATTTCAAGTGAGGGTCGACAGGCTGGTACTACTGAGCAGCCTAGACTTTGAGGCCCAGACGGAGCATTTGATCAACTTGACAGCCACCACAACTGTAAGATGTTGATATTTCTTTGGCTCGATTTCTTTTATTTACCTTTAAAGTATAGTATATTATATTATATCACATTATATTACATTACATTACATTATATTTTTTATTATATTACTTTGCATTATATGATATCATATTATATTATATTATATTATATTATATTATATTATATTATATTATGTTATGTTATGTTATGTTATGTTATGTTATGTTATGTTATATTATATTATATTATATTATATTATATTATATTATTATTATATTATATTATATTATATTATATTATATTATATTATATTATATTATATTATATTATATTGCATTGCATTGCATTGCATTGCATTATATTATATTATATTATATTATATTATATTATATTATATTATATTATATTATATTATATTATATTATATATATTATATTATATTATATTATATTATATTATATTATATTGCATTATATTATATTATATTATATTATAATTATATTATATTATATTATATTATATTATATTATATTATATTATATTATATTATATTATATTATATTATATTATATTATATTATATTATATTATATTATATTTGCAATTATATTATATTATATATTATATTATATTATATTATATTATATTATATTATATTATATTATATTATATTATATTATATTATATTATATTATATTATATTATATTATATTATAATAATTATATTATATTATATTATATTATTTTATTTTATATTTTATTATATTATATTATATTATATTATATTATATTATATTATATTATATTATATTATATTATATTATATTATATTATATTATATATTATATTATGTTATGTTATGTTTTGTTATGTTTTGTTTATGTTATGTTATGTTATATTATATTATATTATATTGCAATATATTATATTATATTATATTATATTATATTATATTATATTATATTATATTATATTATATTATATTATATTATATTATATTATATTATATTATATTATATTATATTATATTATATTATATTATATTATATTATATTATATTATGTTATAATATATTATATTATATTATATTATATTATATTATATTATATTATATTATATTATATTATATTATATTATATTATATTATATTATATTATATTATATTATATTATATTATATTATATTATATTATATTGTATTATATTACATTGTATTGTAGTGTGTTGTATCATATTTATTATGTTATACTGTTTTATATTGCATTGCATTGTACAGCACTGAATGACTAACAACCTGTGTGATTCTGCCCACACAGATTATGGGCGGCGGGGGACAGATGTCAAACACCACTATCCTGACGATTCGTGTGCTGGATGAGGACGACATGAGTCCGGTATTCAACATCAGCCAGTTTGTGCTACGAGTTCCCGAAGGCCAGGTCTGTCGCTTTGGAAGCTGTACCTTCTTTCTTTCTGTAACCTAATATTTCCAACTGGCCTTGTCGGTTATGAAATTATTCTGTTGTTTTGTCCCTTGATATAGATTATGGTTAAAAATTTTAGTTGCATCTACGCATATTTTCTCTTTCCCTCACTTGAACTTTCTAAAGTACATTCCAAAAGTCATAACCTCAAAATCTTTAATACTTATAAATGTTTCGCAATCTTCTGTACGGATCATCACGAATGCCTGTGTGTAGTTTTAGATTTTCTATGTCCCTAATGTTTTATAATTTACAATTGTACATGTACAGTTTTTTTTTTTTTTTTTTTTTTTAAATCTTTGTTGGACTCTTAATGTATGTACCCCTAAATTTAAAAAATGGAATCTACAGTAACGGTCACCGCTGCGTGTATTTACCGCTTTCTTTGGCAGTGATGACAGGGGCAGTGGCGGATGGGGGAGCTAAGCTAAGCTTGAATATCAACGGCCTCATGGCTAGTGCTGTCGCCAGGAACTGTGCAGATTAGTATGTTTATTTTTGCCTCTGACTTGGGGGGGGGGGAACGCCATCACCGTAATATGCATCGAACTCAGCTATTCCGCGAGAGAGCATTATATGGTAACCACTCAGTCAGCCGCTCCTCCAGCTTTGTAATAGACAGTTAAAGTTAGTTGTGTATCCTTTACAGGACGTTGCAGAACCAGTCCCATAATTTTTTGGCTCTTGTGGTTTTTCTAGGCAAATTTACGTCCAGTAGTTTGCCATTTCTTTCTAGACGGTCAGCTTCTTGATACCACTGTCGAAACCAACGCAAGGCGTGAGGCCCGCAACTGGGATCGAACCCGGCACCCCGGCATTACGAAATGCGTTCACAACACCGAAGCCACAGACGCCGACACAATACACAGTAACTGACACAAATCTGTTACTTCCTGTGAGCCATGGGTGATCAAACTTAAAGTTTCGAAGTGTAACGGATTTTTTTTCAGACCTATGTCAAATTTCCGAGAATATCCGGTAATACGTGCAGCAGGAGCAGATCAACCCTGAGCCTCATAAACTCAGGTGGGCCCACTCTCTGAAAATGTCTAGGAGCTCGTTGGACAAAACTGATGATTGGTAGACTCCTGCTGTACATGCTTCACTGTGAAGTTTCTTCTTATATTCACAGATCAAATTATTGAGAAACACATACTAACAGAGTTAAAACTATGTAAATGAGATTATAATATAGAACCTAACGTATCCTCTTCACCATTCATAACAAAGTACACATTCGTTGTCTGCTGGATTAACTCTAAAACGACCTGCAATGTGAGGTTCTGCTTAGTTCGCGTCACTACATTCACTGTAAACATGTAAACTGTATGCGTTGAAATGGTGTCTGTTATTTCATACACCGCTAAAAAAGCCAAGTATTTATTATTAACCATTTGCATGCTGAATTTAAACAATTTACACAGAATGGTTACCTGAGTTACTAATCTGTAAAGCTAGGCACGATTTTTGAGACGCACTATAGTCACGTTCATACTGTGCTTTCTGACTGTTATCGAAACATACAGCCACCCCCCCCCCCCCCTTTTTTTTTCGACCCCCCACCCCTTCCACCCCCTACCCTTTTTGTGTAACTGATCCAGTAACTATGAGTTGTCAACCCTTTGGCTCGGTACTATTGATATCGCAACCCTTCGGCCTTTATTCCATGATAGATGCCGTAAATCTGGGAGAAAAATGGCGAAGCCAGACCACAAGGAGTTCGTCCGCGATCGCCGCGCAACCAGGTTTAACCAACTGAGCTAGCGAGCCGGACTTTGTTGTTGTTAAGTGTTATGTTCTTGTCATCCTTACACGTACAGAACTGCTGGTTTACTCCTCGCTGGTAAAACCGTTAAGGAGCCTTCATTAGAACTTCTTTTGAGGTTGAAGGAGCTATATGGCTTCTGTCATCAACATTGGGATTTTATTTCGGGGTGGTAAACTTTCAGGTTGTAGCCAGAATGGAACGAATCGATCGATCGATCAATTATCTTTCTTGCTGTATCACTGTTAATCAACAGTCCGTAAATATTCGCATTATTCCAAAAGCATGTCCTAAGAGTCGATTAATCGGGAGCTTCCTTCGAAGTGGGAGTACATCTGTCTGAGAGGCAAGGAAGCAACAGCCTGCAAATAAGTCAAAGCGGTGAAAAGAATGTGCACGCAACACTCAGTTTATGGAACAGGGCTAGAGTCCGGAAGTGGAGAACAACCAAACTTTCTGCTACTTTACAGCTGGTGAATAAAGAAGAAAAAGATTTATATCGAGTCTCTAATTTAGGATGAAATATTCCTGCTTTTTTTTTTAATTATTACCCGTCCAGGCTTGCAAACTGTAGGATTAACATCTCAAGGATGAGAATCAAACCCGTACAAATCATTGAAATCCTGTTAAACTGTACACACAGTTACACTGAGGCATGAGAATAAGATTACGGAAAACCTGTAGTCAAGTGTGGGTGGTCTTGTGCAGTGAATGCTTCATTTTCTGCTTGGCTCTTGAAAGGGCGGTTGGCGCAGTGTGTTGTTGCTTAGAGCCTCGTTGTGATATCTGCATCTTCTGGCCCAACACATCCAGTTCGATTAAGTCCCAAATTATTTCTTTTACACTACACACTTGTTATCTTGGCATTCAGGAGTACATAGTAACGAAAGAGCTGATCAGCTGGCAAATAAGACACCAATGTAAACGAGAAGAAGCATGGACGGAGCTGATATCATCAACCCTGTACGGACTAGGTTGGAGGATATTGGCCAATCTCCGACGTTAATACGACTGCGTGACAGATGAGTTAAGTTTGGTGAAGCACGTCAATGCCGCCTTCGATGTGAAGACATAAGATACTATAACCAACTCCCCATGGGAACAAACAGTAGAAGTACATTGGATTGGCTGCTGCACCGGAGGACTTAGCACGCATGGGGATGCCCAGTGTGCAAAAACGTCGACTGTGATAGCATAACATTACATAATGCTCAGCACAGTGCACAGGCTCTGTAGAACCGGCGAAGATCCTGAAGCATGCTTGTTTTAAGATAGTGGGTCAGTCCCCACCCCCCCCCCCCCCCTTTTCCTCCGTAAAATGGGACTCTGGAACCTACTCTATGAAAAACATTTATCACTACTGTCTTATTGGCGCATACTTCAAAGGGACACAATTATAATCATTGAGTAGCGCAAAAAGAAAATGAAAACTAGTTGGGTTATTTCTCCTAGTTCCATAAATCGCACAAATTAAAAATAGAATAGAAAGAATTCTCACGCCTACAAATTGATTGGATATATGATGCTACATCCAGATTTTTACAGAAACATAGGAACTGTAATGGTCTTGTGGTCAGTATCAGCACTGCCGTCTGTACTTTCTGCAAAATTTCCTAGAATGCTTTTTTATTCCGGTCAGTTTCTTCATCTTCTTCCTCCATGTCCCTCTTGAAACAGCAGTTGCCTCGCTGTGTTTAAGCTATGCTGCGATATCTGAGCTCTTTGACCCAAACTATTAGAATCACACCCCAAAAAATCCCAGTAGAC